AGCTGGCAAATCGGCTCTATTTACTTTCACATCGCCGTAAAAAAGCTTCGTTGTAACTATTTTTATGAATATGTTCATGGTAATTGTTCTGGCGGGCTTTCCTTCTCGGTACGTTGATTTGTGAATTGAATTGATTGGCAGATAGATAGATAGATAGATAGATAGATAGATAGATAGATAGATAGATAGATAGATCTGAACAGACTGGGATAGATAGATAGATAGATAGATAGATAGATAGATAGATAGATAGATAGATAATCATTTTTCTCTTGTTCCAAAGTGAATACTAGTTCAAAACTAATTCTTAAAATCGTGTCTTGATTAGTTATTAGCCCGTTTGGCTTATACCAATGAAGAATTGGTATCTGACAATTTCACATAAGACTTCAGGATATTCAATAAGCTTTACTCTAATTTCTTTTCTTCCTCTTTTATAACGTTAAATCGGTCCAGTTCCCATCCCTCTTTCGCTCACAATTTTTAGCATACTCAGTTCACTTTTGGTTCATTTGCTTCTCATCTTTGAAATTCAAACAACTTGACACAAGTTCCACACTGGGAAATGTTCCACAGAAAGAACACTTTGGATGAAACCAATTTCTATATTGGGAGAAAGAAATTGGTTACATTGGAATCATTTTTAAAAAGCCTACATATCATTTCATCAGCTAAAATTGCAACAATATTCATATAATTGACATCCTCATTATTTAGTCATCAAAGTAATTTCATATCTAAGGCATCATCTCTACAAATTGAAAGTAAATGCAATCGACAGAAATATGGGATAATTGTTGCAAATGTCCTGATAGATAGATAGATAGATAGATAGATAGATAGATAGATAGATAGATAGATAGATCTGAAGAAATTGGGATAGATAGACAGATATGAACAGAATGAGATAGATAGATAGATAGATAGATAGATAGATAGATAGATAGATAGATAGATAGATATGAGCAAATTGACATAGATAGATAGATAGATAGATAGATAGATAGATAGATAGATAGATAGATCTGAACAAACTAGGATAGATAGAGTGATAGATATGAACAGAATTAAATAGATAGATAGATAGATAGATAGATATGAACAGAATGAAATAGATAGATAGATAGATAGATAGATAGATAGATAGATAGATAGATAGATAGATAGATAGATCTGAACAGGAAGAAAGTGAAAGACAAATTCTATAGATAGATTTGACTAAGAATAGCTGATGTTCATTTTTGTCGTCTGTGTAATAAAGCCGTGTTTTCATTCTTTAATAACAGAAATTTGAATCAACAAGAGTCGAAAGATAGAAAAACATTTATTGAATTACATGTGCATTGCTTAAGGGTTGATAAGTTTTTGTCATTTCGTTTTAAATCAGCCGGATATGTGTTGCTTTACATTGATATGTGTCTTACAATAAACGATGAGAATATATATATATATATATATATATATATATATATATGTGTGTGTGTGTGTGTGTGTGTGTGTGTGTGTGTGTGTATGTGTGTGTGTGTGTGTGTGTGTGTATAAATATTCTCAGATGGCGTATATCTGTAGAAGGGACAAAATGAATGAAAAGGCAATAAAAATACACGTAGTTTTTAGCCGATGGGTTTCGTCATTTGACGGACTTTTTCAAGGCAAATGTGATGATTTCAATTTGCAACAAATATGTATTTGACAGTTACTCAAAATGTTTTAAATTTAAGAACGCTAATAAATATTCATCAGGTTAACTGAGAAGTTTAAGCGTTAGATCTTGGATTATGTCATATATCATCTACGAAAGGACATTTTTCAATTTAAACACCTTCGTAAATACCCATCCGCTTTACTGAAATGTCTAGGTATTTAGATCTTGATTACGTCATTTAGTATACTAGAAAAAATTTTATTTTTTTAATTAGGAATTTAAATTTTTTTTTTTTTTAAATGAGATGGATGTTTGTATTATACAGCTTCAGAGGTTGAAATGATGAATTCACTCGTTTTTGTTTGATATTACAACATATTTGTTGTGTATGTTGACTTGGGAAAGTAGTAATTCCTTACGGAAAGGGGAAATTGGGAAAAAGCCGAGGCGTTTGATATATATTGATATTGATTGATATTTTGATAGTAATCAATGGTGACACTCTCGAGGATTTTCTTTCTGAGTAAATTATTTACTCTTTTGATGATAGTAGCATTTTTTAGAGCAAAATTCTGGTCGAATTTATTTCTGTGTATGACTGGTGCATTTGTTAAATTGCTATTTATAAGGTCGCTTTTGTGTTCATAGAAACGTTTTTATTTTTAATTTCTGCATGTTTCCCCAATGTATTGTAAAGAAAAGTTTAGGCAATTTATTTTATATATGTCTGCTTCTGAACTATTATAGATATTGTTGTTTTTAGATGTGATTATAGTCATGGTTTTGCAAGTGGCTTCGACTATTTGAATGTTGTTTAGATGGGATAACGTATTTTGGACAGTGAGAATTGAGAAGATCGTTTTTGTTGGTAGATTTTATGTAAACATCAAAATTGAGTTCGATGTTGTTTCTATGTAACATATCTAGAAGGGGGAGAGTGTCGTTGATTTCAGGTTCAAATGTGAAGTCTATTGTAAGATCAACGTTGTTAAGTTGGTTGAAAAGATCTGTTAAAATAGTGTTTTGTGAATATATTAGTAAGGAGTCGTCTATGTAACTGAAATAGAAAGAGTTTGTTAGTAGAATGTTTTTTTAGAAGAGTCACTTTCTAGAAATTCTAAAAATAAACAAGTGAGAGGAGATCCCATAGGTAAGCCAAATTTTTGTCTATAGAAGTGGTTACCAAAAGTGAAGAAACAATGTTTGATAATGACGTGGTATATTTTGATAATTTTATGTGTAGGGATAGGTAGATTTATTTCTGTTTTTCTTAAGTGTAAATTAAATTTAAAAAATTCGAGTGACTGCCAAATATATACATGTTGCAAAATAAAAACAAAGTCCGTGGGATGACTAAACCCGTCGGGTAAAACTAAGAATATTTCCCCTTGTCTTTTCATTCATATATATATATATATATATATATATATATATATATATATATATATATATATAGTAATGATATAATATGGCAATCCGTATGGAATTTCCAGTTGATATAGATCCAGGGAGATCTTTATGTCCAAAGACAGAGCAAAATTATTATTAATTAAATGATATCAAACACTAAAAATCGTATAAGGTAATAATTTTTATTTTATGAGTGCTCTAAAAAACAGCAGCTCTCAATCTTCAAGAACTACAAACAATTCACAAATGAAATGGATTAAATATTACAGATTAAAAACAAGAGATATGGCTATCTTATTTAGAGTGGGGATGCAGAGAGTGTTGACCTATTTTGACACATTGACCTCAATATATCATTTGAGGATGGTGGAAGGGCTTAAAGTGTATTTAGTTCATTGTGAATCTGAAACAATACCGGCTCTTTCTGTCAACGGCCGAATTCTCAATTCTGACATATTTCATTCAACAAATTATCTGTAAGAATATATATATATATATATATATATATATATATATATTATTATTATTATTATTATTATTATTATTATTATTAATAATATAATAATAATAATAATTAAAGAATATCATACACTTAAAAACCCATAGGTAATAACTTTTGTTTCATGAGAGCTTTAAAAAAAGCAGCTGAAAATCTTCAAACAAACCAAAAATGAAATGGAAAAAATATTCCGGTTTAAAAACAAGAGACATTGCTATCTTCTTTATATTGAAGGATTGTAAAGAAGGATTCGATATGTTTTTAAGTGAGTAATCCGGAGTAAATTTTTCCATTTTCATATGGAATAGGTTGATATTTGAACTAATTTGGAAGGAAGTATTCCAAGGAGAGCTCAACTTATTCTTATAAAGAGGATTTTAAGTGTATGATATTCATCAATTAATAATATATATATATATATATATATATATATATATATATATATATATATATATATGAACAGAATGAGATACATACATACATACATACATACATACAAACAGGATATTATAGATAGATAGATAGATAGATAGATAGATAGATAGATAGATAGATTTGAACAGGATGGAATAGCTACCTAGCCAGATAGTTGAGAGGCATGATTGCCTACGTTCTGAAGACATATGACATAAAAAGGCAATCTCTAAAAAGCCAAAATCGTGGAATTTAAAAAGAGCTGAAAATGGCGATACAAGTTCCTGTTTAACGAGTAATATTTGCCTTCCGTTACTTTTCTGCAAGAAATGGTTAGCAGCAAAAGACACCAAGATGCGAATTGAAGACAACGAAATTAATCAAGTCCAAAATTGAAATCATCTCGGAAATGTTTTAACAGACGACGGAAACTACGATACCGAAATTGAAATTGCAGTAGAGAAAGTCGCCTTCCAAAAACTAAAGAAAGTATTTAATAAAAACTGGGAAACTTTGTTACAAAAAACAAAAAGCGTGCTGAACTGTTATGTAATGTCAATTCTTTTGTCATGGCGTACAAATCCCCTTTCACCTGAAGAAGAGATTTTAAGGTAATAGAAATGTGCTTTTCCAAAAGAAATACTATGTGAGCAACTAAGAAGTTTTAAGTAAAATAGAAAGAGGGGCGCTTATACGAAAAATCAGAGAGTGAAAGTTGAAATTTCTAGAGCAGATAATGGGGAAAGAAAGCTTGGTGAATTTGACACTCACATGACCGGCACGAGCGAAAGAGGATGGTAGCGGATAACCTACCTCGCGGGCTTATGTAAATAATTGACAATAGAGATTTGAAAGGATGGTAAAAAGACAAACTTTACGGAGAGCTACGAAGGACAGCGTCGTCCTGAAGAGATAGAATTATTTGTGACTGCGTACATGTTTAGCCATCAAAGTTTTCTTAAAATATATCTGATTAAATGTCAAAGAAAATAATTTGTTTTTGTTGCCGTACAAGTGGACGTGGATCAGTCAATGTACGATTTTTTTTTCTTGTTTTATCATCACGTTTTTATACTTACGTCAGTTGTCACTGTTCAAGTCTAAGTAAAAAGTTACTATTTTAAACACTGATTGAGGCAAAGAAGCTTTTTCTTACATTGTAATAATATAATGTTCCAAATAGCTGACTTTGTGCCAAACAGTAGGAAACATATTAATATATATACTGAGTTATTTGGGTGCTTAACAGCAAGAAATATTTTAGCAAAAAAAAAGACCATTTTTTAAGAAATCCCTATTCAGCTGTGATTATTTTCAATCAATATTTCGTTGTTTATTTGCATTATCATCAGACTAAGTGAACGAAATGCAGCTGTTTGTTATTTATTATGGAAGGCATTGTAAAAAAACACAAAACAGAAAAAGCATGGCTGAAAGCAAATTGTGAAGCGATGTGATAAAACGATGGCGCAAGACAACACTATGAATGAGACTGAATTACCATAAGTAAAAAGAAAAATGTCGGTTGCTGGGAAATACTGACGCATGCGTACAGATAGGTAAAATAAAAAATATCAACCGATGAGTTGAATTTTATGAACACACAAATCCCAGTTGGTTTGTTTTTACCGTCATGCACAGAAGAGACGCGTTTATATCTGTTTTATGAGCAATTGCAACCGTAGTCTTACTGGAAAGATATAATCATTCTATAACATATATATATATATATATATATATATATATATATATATATATATATATATATATATATATATATATATAACCCAAGTTAATTGTGAGATAGTTATCATGTAGTCAAACCTGAAGTCGTCTGTTCTAGATTCAAACAGCCAAGTAGAAAAATCTTCCACTTCTGTTTTTGCCTTTTTTTTTCTTTCGCTATTTTTATTCTTCTTTCCTTTTTTTCTTTCTTCCAATCTTTCCTCAGATCCATTCCGTCTTCAGTTCTTTCGCTTTCTTCTTGATTTTTTGTTTCTTTTCTTATCCATATTTTTTTTTATTATTTTACGATTTTTCTCCTCTTCCTTTCTTTCTTTTTTTTTTCCTTTTTTATCTCTCTTTTTTTTTCATCTGGTCTTTTTGTTTCTCTACTGTGATTTATTCTTGTTGTTTTTTTTTTCCTTTTCTTTCCTCTGATTTTCTCTCTCTTCTCTACTTCTTTTATTATATCGTTTTCTTTCTTTCTTTTTCTCTTATTCTTTTCTTATTTATTCCCTCTTTATTTCTTTATTCTTTTCATTTCCACTTTTTTTCTTTCATTCCAGCTATTTAGCTTCTTCTATGCTTCTTTCTTTTTCATTTTTATTTTTTCTCATTGCATTTTTCTTTTTTCTTTCTTTTTTCTTTCTTTTATTTCTTCCTTCCTTTCTTTCTTTCTTTTGATTTTTTTCTTTCGTTTGCGTCCTTTCGTTTTTCTCTTTTCTACTTTTTCTTTCTTTGTTTCTTTGTTTTTTCTTCTCTCTTTATTTCTTCATTCCTTTCATTTCTTCTTTCTTTCTTTTTTCTTCTCTCTTTATTTTTTCATTTCTTCTTTCTTTCTTTCTTTCTTTTTTCTTCTCTCTTTATTTCTTCATTCCTTTCAATTCTTCTTTCTTTCTTTTTTCTCCTCTCTTTATTTCTTCATTCCTTTCATTTCTTCTTTCTTTCTTTCTTTTTTCTTCTCTCTTTATTTCTTCTTTCTTTCTTTCTTTTTTCTTCTCTCTTTATTTCTTCATTCCTTTCAATTCTTCTTTTTTTTCTTTCGTTTCAGCTCGTTCGTTTCTTCTCTAGCACTTTCTTTTTCTTTTTTCCTTCATTTCTTTTTCTTTTTCTTTCTTCTCTTCTTTCCTTATATTTCTTCGTCCCTTTTAAAAAAGTTTTCTTCTTTCTTCCGTCTTCCTTCTTTCCTTTCTTTCTTATTTTTCCTCTCTTTTCTATTTTTCTAATTTATTTCTTTTTAATTCAGTTTTCTCTGCCTTGGTACTCCCCTTTTTTTTCCTATGCTTCTCCTTTTCCTTCTTTTCCTTAATTCTTTCTTTACTTCCCACCCACCACTACATACACCATTATTCGGGTTAACGAACATCCCTTTTGGCTGAAAGGTGGCTTCCACCGGAAGTCAATGTTCATTTACGATTCCCCTGATCATAGCCTCGTTTTGAAAATCGACTCACTCAGAAAGGATAGGCAAATTACTGGAAATCTTGGTAAGCATTTCGCAATAAGCGTTTACCCTCCACCTCCACCCTCATCACACACACACACCATCACTGTCGTTAAGGGCGTTAACTTTGGAGTTGATGCTATTGGGCGCCATTATTTTCAGTTGTAGCCGAGTTAAAGGTGAGTGGGGCGGTGGAAGATAGACCAAAATTCTTGGTTAAAACGTAGCTGACCCGTTGAAAGAATATCTCATTTTAGTTAATTCACTATCGATTTTCAAAGGAAATTTTCTGTCAATAATTCCTAATGATTTCTTCATTTCTACGCTCAAGGGAAATATCCTGACTAGATCTCCAAGACCCAACCTCTTTTTTTTTTTTTTTTTTTGCTCATTTTACTTTCATGTAAAAACCTGAATCGTTTGCACAGTTCTTACTGTGTAACTGTTCCAACTCAGTCATACTTATTATTATTATCATTGAATCAGAGACCTGTACACCAAGAAAATGACGCTGAGGTACAAATTGACGAATTCCATATCCCCATCACCACACCCAGTCTGATAAGTGTATACCAGATCCATGCATCACAGCCAAATGTACGCAATATGGCTACAGATTCCTATAAGAGCAGCACATACCGTTGCTGGATGGGCCCGGTTAGAAATATCTTCAAGTTATCTCCTCAGACGGTCTGCGATTGAGGATATTCCTAAGAATTTAGGTGTGACTCCCAAGTCGCCTTGGCTTCCTCACTCTTGAAACAAATAAACAACAACAAAAACAATTGATAACAGGTTATGATGCTTCCTAACTACTTCCGTCCATGAACTTTTTTGTATTTCTTTAAAAGGCATAGGCTACCAGGAATCCATTTAATGAGCCTATAGGAATTTTTTCCAATTAATCCGAGGTCTCCAACTATAAATGCAATTATTGAATTATTCTTCTGCCACTTGTTTAAGATTTTTACTTCAAATCCTTGTATTTTGATAGTTTTTTTTTGAAGATCTACAAAGATACATTACAGTCTGTTGTACTACAACGTCAATAAGAAAGCATTATTATCATCATCATTATTATTATTCTTTTGATATGCGGTTTGATTAAATCATTCACCAATCTTTCAATTGAGATCGAAGGCAAATGGTTACTGAAATCTTTAAAGATAATGTCTCATTTTATTGTCCGCATAGTTTTCCTGAAGACACGCCCCGTTGAAAACAACAAAGCAATGCTTTTTCAGCTGTTGAAAATTCAAAACGTTTGTATCTAGTTTAAAAAAAAAACAAAAAAAACTTGAATTTAAAAACGGACGTCTTTTAACAGTGGGCAGAATATGTGACACCGAAAACTGAAGGTGCTTTAGAATAGAGAAATATGCTTTCCAGTAACTAAGCAAAGTATTAAGAAACAGGAAAATTTCATTAGAAACAAAGAGTGGTCAAGTGTTATGTAATATCGGTCTTTCAATATGGCAGCGAATGCTGAACAATCTCCACACAGACGATAAAGAGACTTGAGACAACAGAAACTTGGTCTTATAGAAATTTGCAAAGAATTCCATGGAATGAGTAACTTTTTTTTGTTTTGTTTTTTTAGAAAAATAGAAACAAAACTTAGAATTCTTAGAATAAAAAATTAACAACTGAAGTATCTAAGATACATAATGAGGAAAGAGCGCTTAGAGAATTTCGTACGCACAAGGCAGACTGAAGTAAAGAAAGCTGAAAGCAAAGAATAATCTAAATGAGGTTGGATAGATACTTGGCAGAACAGGGATTAGGAGAGATACCAAAAAGACAAACTCTACTATGACATAGAAATGAAACGATGGTGTGGAGAGCTATGATCACCCACGTCCTGAAGGGACACTGCAAGAAGAAGAAGAAGAAGAAGAAGAAGAAGAAGAAGAAGAAGAAGAAGAAGACGACGACGACGACGACGAATAATAATAATAATAATAATAATAATAATAATAATAATAGTAATAATTTTACTCGTTTTGCGAACAGATTTTGAAACGAACGCGTTTTGGTGTCATATGAAGGGCGAAACGTCGTTCCTGGGCACAACGGATAAGAAGGATATCCAGGAAGATTCCCTGCTAGGTTAGGGGTTTATATCTTTAAATCGATACTAGTAATCCGGGTTAGACGACTCTAATCCCATTGCCAAATCCTCATTCCTAATTCATCGGATTATTCCTTAGCGATTTTCAGTCTCGGAACCATGGAAGGCGAACAAACGGTGGAGACTACAGATTCGATGTCGTGACCTTAATCTGGTGGCCATGAAAAATGACAACTTCCGGGTCAATGCCGCGAGTGGCGATTCGCTAAAAGCATTTGATCTCAGGCCGGTGACTTCACCTCTATATTCTGCCGGACTAACAAGAAAATGTAAAATCGATACTCAACAACAGTCAGCCGTTACGGGATATAGTTCTAGAAGAACGTCTGAGATTCTAAGATTTTCTGGCCTTATTATTATTATCATTTTATTATGGTATCATCTTGCCAAGTAGTAATTCTAAATGGCTAATTAACAGAACCCCTGCAGGGTCTATGAATAAAAAGGACACTCTAGGCGTGGTTATTTATGCATATTTGGGACGTTACATTTAAATGGAGAGGCGATTTGAGAGTGACGATATGTGCAATTCCTCACAGCTTTAAGTTCTGTATTTTCTTCAATTCTATATTTTAGAAATTTTTCTAAATTTGGAATTAGGAAATTTAGGAAAATCTATCTTATAAAAAAGAAAAAAAATTAAGTCTAAAATTAAAATCAATTAATTTGATTAATAATAATAAGAAGAAGAAGAAGAAGAACAACAACAACAAGAACAACAAGAATCAGAAGAAGAAAAAGAAGAAGGATTTTTTTTATTTTAGGAAAATAAACAGAAAGGAAAAGATATGTTTTTCTTTTCTTAAATAGCGCTCTTCTCTTAAGTGTTGAAAAATATTAGATGAGTTTCGTCATTTTGTTTAATAATAATAATAATAATAATAATAATAATAAACGAAATATTAATAAAAAAGAAAGAATACGGGAATAAGTTTAAAAAAAAGAACTGTATATAATCTCTTCCATCTTCTTCTATGCATGCGTTGCTTCAAGTGAATTTTAATAAAAGATTAAGCGTCTCATATCGTCGGCTGCCAAATGAAAGAAAGACGCCCTTTTAATGTTGCTGAGGAACACCGATGTTTAAACTTTTCTCACTTCACAACAAAATAAAGTCGTTTTAATAGTTTTTACACATAAAATACAAACATATATACATACATATATATATATATATATATATATATATATATATATATATATGTGTGTGTGTGTGTGTGTGTGTGTGTGTGTTTATGTCTATCATTCATCCTTGCTTGGAATATTTTAGCCACATCCAGTCTGGTCCTCCTGATATATATATTTAGAGATTCTTGATCAAGAAGAACCTGCAATGTTGCTGGTTCTGACCTGGCATATCGGCTTCAGTCACTTTTCCCATCGCCGCAATGAAGCCTCCCTCTGCCTTTCCTGGTAATTGGTCTGGTGAACTTTTCTCTATAATAATTAGACTTTATGAATTACTAGATTGGTGTCAAAGATTTATCTTTTTACAGCTGAAATGGCTAGAGGCAACCGTAAGTTCTTTACTAAACTTTTCTTCTATGGCACTTTTGGCTTGTGAAACACTCTTCGGGCTTCTGACTTCCCAGTCAACTTTGATTGTCAATGATTTGAATGCAACGTGAATCATTATCCTCCTCTTCTTAATAATTGTGCTTTTATTATCCTCTTTCCTTAATAGTATATTTTTTTCTTATTCTTTAACACTCAGTAACCCCCTTGTGTCCTAGTGGCTTTATTGCCTTTGATCTTTAAAAATTTAAATGCAATATCAATCGACATCTCCTGTCTTCTTAATTCCAGATTTTTTTTATTGTCCTCTCTCATTAATAGTAGTTTTTCTCATATTCTCTAACACTCAGTAACCACTTGCGCCTTAGTAGATTTATTGCCTTGCTTAGAGTGAAATGATTTAAAAAAAAAAATAGAAGTCCGTCTGAAGTTATTATGCAAATCACATAAACCTCAATAACTCGAATATACATTGAACAATTCTTCTCAAATCTGAAACGATTAACTAAAACAAAGCCTGACTTAAATTTTTAGACAGTTTTCAACATTTATTATTAATACTAAAGTCGGAAGTTATTATGCAAAACCAGAAAATTACAAATAACAAATTAATAAAACCATCTACAATTGATCAACACCCAGAATAGAACACACATATCTGGTAAGTTTTTATATCGTAATATAGTGAACTTTCTTCGCAATAACAACCATCAATCTAATATCGATTGAATTTGTTAAATGTTTTACGTCAGTGGGTTCACTTTCAGACATGGTGGTTTTTGTGGCTTGATATAGGACTGCTTCACTGTTATATCGTTCGCCACCTTCATATATTGTCTTCTTCCAAAATGACCATATATAACACCTCCTGCCGCCGCCTATATCCGGTAGTGCAACCGCATTTCTTCAGAAATCAGGAAATCTGGTGGCAGTTGACGTGGATTCCAGAGGCACACGATGTGGATTCTCAACCCAAGATTTCGATCTCTCAAAGCTATCTATCGCTTGCATCCACCTCACTCTCTCTGCCTGTGTATGTGGATGAAATGGTATCTGTGTAGTACACACACACACATAAATGCCTACATATAAGAGCAATCATGTGTAACGTTTATTATAACACCTCTTGCAGCTAC